ATCCCTGCAGGTTGTAATGGCTTCCGAGCTAGGGGTGACCGTTCGATCAAGTCGAGTTAAAGAATTTTGAGTTATTCGAATTGACGAGTCCTATTTTATAGTTTAAACTTGATTTCATATTTTTTTCGAATCAAGTCGAGTTTATAAAATTTGAATCGAGTCGAGTTTTTTTTATTTTTTGTTTAAATTTAATTGTAAATATTTATAATATTATGATACAATTTGATTTCAATCTAAATTGTTTTCTATATACAATACATATATATTTCTTCATATTTTTCCATATGTGATATACATATATGATATTGAGTCAAGGGATTCGACTCAAACTTGAAAATCAATCTACTAATTATTAAAATTTCGAGTTATTCGAGTTCTATTTTATAACTCGAATTGAATTTAAAAAAAATTGAGTCGAATTTATAAAATTACAATTCAAAGTCAATTGCTTAAAATATTCTTCCCACAAGTGCATTTTTGCTTCTCCTATATCTCGATCAACTAACCCAACTCCTATTTATGGTTAAAATTTTAGGAAATGAACGTTGAAACTCGTCACCTCGAAGTGACGAGTTCTAATGGCTCTTTTTCAAATCTAAAAAAACTATAAATTTTAAACCTAAGGAACTCATCACCTCGACGTAATTTTTTTTAAAAATAAATTCAATTATTAATCTTAGAAAAAAAATATTAAAATATTGGGCCTAAAATAAAAAATTATATCTCAAGACCCTCACTGTAAAAATGTCACAGATTCCAAAAAAAATTTATGAGGTGCCCTTTTTCCCTAAATAATTTTGGGGCCAACGGTAGTGGGCCAAAAAACCATCGCTCCTTGGTTGGATCGTATGGACTATTTGGAAATTGAAGAGCATTTAGTTCTCCACAATCCAAATCAACATGTTCATTCAGTGATAACTAGTTTGATATTGATTAAACATATATCGAATTTAAGTTATTATGTAAATAGAAAATTTTCGTTAAAAGATTTATCTGTCAAAATTAAACGTGCAACACAAATCATCCAAATTAATCAGAATAAAGTTCTAAGACATCGAGAGAACAAAAAAAAACCTCCCAACCCCAAAATTAGCTTCCACGTATAGATATTTGAGAAATCCATAATATTTGTCATGGATCAGAACACAAAATTTCATGGCTTTACATTGTATGCTTTGAACATCATCATCTCCGGGCCTTTTGTCCTAGTGTAATCAATATCTTAATTCACATTTTAAGATATTTAGAATTCATTGACGGACCTCAATCATAAAAATAAATGTTATTTTTTTTAGAAATCTCGAGAATTATATTTATATTCCGCATCAATTATGTTCACTTTTAAACGTTTAAATTTGTTATACAAGTGTGTGTATATATATATATATTGATTAAGCAAAAGTACAAAGTAATATATGTTCTAAATACTCTTAATCATTGGACAATGAATGTTCAATCACCTTACTGCAATCGTTAATGCTCGAACCCGTAACTTCTAGGAACAATAACGATTCCTTTAACTACTAAAATATGTTGGTTTGTACTGTTATACAAATATATTAATGTGTATTTGGGTTGTCGTCCAATTATATATCTTATGAAGTTAATAAAATAGAGGATGGCATGACTAAGTTCACATGAAATTTACCATATAGTGTTTATATTTACTAGACTCTACCTCCGGCGATAGATTTTGTATACACTTTTATTTTACGTGTCTTATTTAAGGTTTAGAGTTTATAGTTATACGTTTTAAGGTTTATCATTTAGATTTTAAAATTTGAGATTGAGAATTTAGGATTTAGATTTTAAATTTTAGAATCTATGGTTTATAATTTTAAATTTATAATTAAAATAAATAATCTTTGTATCAAATAAATTATTAAAGTGTCTTGCAAAATTATTAAAGTGACTAATCATTTTCTTTTTTTTTAAAAAAAATACTCAAAATCATAAGTCATAATCATCGTATATCAAAATAAATAGTATAAGTTAGGGTTATAAATATGGAGATCCAAATATTACAAACCGAATACAAATAACATGTTTGATAAAATAAAGTTAAAACTGAAATTGACATAATATCATTGAATAATACATGTCCTCTATAACAATCAAGACATACTCTGCTAACTTGAATTGTTGGAACTCTAACCCGACGATTCTCTCCTCTATAATCAAGACTTGATGTAAAAAGTCATACCCACCGTGGGTAGTGGGTAGGTGTTGGGTTTGAGACCTTACCCGCCCCGTATCCGGCCACTTACTAACTATTTACCGTATAAATTTTAGACCATTATTATTATATAAATCTTAAGATTTTATAGGACATGACTTGTAATTTATCCAAATGTTAGGTATAAACATTTTTAAAATCGAAGATCGTTGTTTCTCCTATCTCAAATTGGTGGGTATGGGTGGATACGGGCAACTATAAACGGGTACGAGATGGGTGGTGGGTATCCAGTTGGATAGTGGGTGTGGGGATAGATTTGAGAATGCATCCGCTTGGGCGAGTATAGATTTAAAAATTTTAACTATCGTAGGTGGTGAGTAGGTGATAAATACGAAAATATTACATGGGTATGAGGATGGAAAAGGGGTATCGACACCTACCTACCCGTTTACCATCCCTAGCTAATTTCATTTAAAAATAAATACTATCAAATCACATCAGGTCGAAATCCATCATATCTAAATTTAATTACCACCCCCAATTGCAACTCATAATTCAAAGTGTTCAATTGAATATTGTCTTTGATTAAAAGTTGTATTGCTTTACGAGGGCCTTTTTCACATTAAAGCAATTCCCTCGTGTAAGGGGTATTGTTATTGTTACAGATTAATAGTTGTAAATGAAAATTGATTACTAGGAACAACTTGTTCAAATATATAGCTTGTTTTATTCAACGTAAATTTATTGGCTTAATTTCTTTCCTAGTTAGATTACTAAATTACCCATGACTAATTGCAAAAGCCTAGATAGTGAGGTACAAAAATATTGCAATTTATTACAAAATCTTTATAGCTTAAAGGCTATATTGGGTGGGGGGATAGTGATTATGGTGATAATATACAATTCTTATAGTAATTAAAATCAAATAATTAAAATATAACACGTACATGACCTAACACATGAACTTAAATAACATATAAATACGAAACCAACAACTAGTTGGTCTAGTGAGATGCGATACTAGATCCCTTAAGTAAGGTTAGAGGTTCGAATCATGACATTTATGAATGGAGAAAACTGGGTTGAGAGAGTCGCTCTTACCTCTGTAGTACTTGATCTGAATTAGTCGATCAATAGATCGAATACCGGTGATTATACAAAAAAATACACTAAATACAAAAAGAAAAATAAGAACACTATTCTTATTTTTCTAAATATATACATATTAAATTCAAAGTATATTTATTGAATTAATTTCTTTCCTAGTTAGATTAATAATTACCCCCCCCTTACTAATTGCAAAAGACAAGATATATAGTGAGATACAAAAGGATAGTTTTTGGTTACAAAATCTTTTAGAGCATAAAGGCTATATTTAAGATTATATAGAAATTAAATTCATTGATCGATTTAGTGAATTATGTTGAAAAGGATATTTATAATTAGGGTGAAGTACACAAATGGTCCCTGACTGTAGGACAATGCTTTGTTGAGTTCACTGACTATTAAAAGTTACAAAATGGTTCCCAAATTATAGATGGTTGCTTTGTTGAGTCCCTCAACTAGTAAAAGTTATAAAATGATCACCTAACTAATCATTATGTTTCAAACTCATCCTTTTCTATTAAAAAGTAACGATAGTCTGAGTTGGATGTTAATCTGATGTCTGATATATAATAGTCGTTTGAGATCCTGGAATCAAATTTTATCATATCTCGGATAGAAGATTAATATCCCACTCAGATTGTCGTAAATTTTTTAATGAAAAAGGACGGATTTGGAACATAATGAATAGTTGGGTGACTATTTTGTAACTTTTAATAGTTAGGGGACTCAATAAATCAATATCCTATAATTGGGGACCATTTTGTAACTTTTGATAGTCATGGGACTCAACAAAGCAATACCCTATAATTAGGGGACCATTTATATACTTTACCCTTATAATTATTTTCATGTAATATTCTAATTTTATTTAATAGCATACTTGAATATATTCTATATTAATTTCATATTATGTTAATTAAATAATAAAATATGTTATTTTAAAAACAGTTAATAATATATTAAATAATTTTACATGAACATGTTAATCACGTGTCACATAGCCTAAGATCATTGAATAGAGTAATAATAGTAGTAAATCGGAGGAAGTTGTACGAACGAATTCATCTAAGTGATTAAAGATATGATTTTTATCTCTAGAGGTCTTAGATTTAAGTATCAACAACTGTAGGGTATTTGAACGTTCATTATTAAATGATTGAGAATCTTTATAATATATACTATCACTTGTAAACACCCTTTGGTCGAAGGAGAAGTCTTACGTGCGGCAACCTAATATACTATCACATGAAATGTTTTTATTTTTTTACTACCGGAAATGTTATTATTGAGCGCTTTACCGGGTTTATTAACATATTCGGTAACGCGCTACCTAAAACATTATTTTTCTACCGGAAATGTTAAGATTAGGCACTTAATCAGAAATTTTAAAAAACGTTAATGTTTTAGGTAAAAATAATAATGTTTTAGGTAATTTTTTACCGAAAATGTTAAAAAATAATAACATTTCCGGCAGTCCCTTTTCTTAGCCGTATATTAAGGCTGGTGTACGGTAGAACTTCCCTTGATCGAGGGATCATTTGTGTACTTTATCATTTAAAAAAAGGTTCATGTGCATGCTTATGATCCCTCCTTCAATGGAAAAAATAATGTAGTTGAAATTTTGTTAATATTTAACGGCCACCTTCATCTTGTATTATACTATAAATACCCATGAAGCCCCATCCTCCTACAGCAACCAACTGGGAAATCAATCTTTTGTGATAGGCTCCAATGGCGGTTTTGAAATTCCTTTGGCTTAAAATATTAATTATTTTTGTCATAACGATCAATGTTAACAATGGAGGAGTTGAAGCCTCTCACAAGGTTTATCCTCAATTTCAGTCTTTTACTCAGTTTAACACCGCCCAACTTCACCGAACTGCCTTTCACTTTCAGCCTACAAAGAACTGGATCAACGGTATCTTCTTCTTCTTCTTCTTCTTCTTCTTCTTCTTCTTCTTCTTCTTCTGCTTCTTCTTCTTCTTGTGTTTTTGAGTTGGTTTCATGGCTAATTTATCTTCTTGTTTTCCTTTGCTCTTTGTTTTTCTTCAACAACAGATCCAAACGGTGAGTTCAACGAACCACATCACTAACTGCAGTTACGGTGTTGTGATTGCGACTGTTACGGACGTTACGATGTTATTTATTTCCTAAAAATAATTATATTTTTATGTTATGCATGTGGTTTGCGCGATGACCATATAAAACATCGTATGAATTCGACATTCTTAATCATTCATTCCTCTAGACTTCATTTTGTTTTGTTTCTGTTTTTTTCTGAATAAATTATAAATTTTATTACTGAATTTTAATTTCTCTCCTATTTTACTCACTGGACTTTAAAAATTTTCAATTTGCTCGCTGAACTTATTACATTGTTTTTTTATCACTGAATATTGTTTTCTCTCGTATTTTGGTCACTCCGTCGTTAAATAGTTAAAAACGACGCCGTTTTTAAAAAATAAAAATTTCACCGAAACGTCATCGTTTTGTATGTATATAACAACTCATTTTAACGCCGTTAACTATTTAACGGCTGAATGACCAGAAAGACTCAATGTATTAAGTTCAATGAGGAAACTAAAAGATTTAAAGTAAAACTAAATGAAAAAGGAGAGATAATAAATTTGAGTTACCAAATTTGTATTTTACCTTCTTTTTTTTTTTTTGGTTTTACAGGCCCTATGTACTACAATGGAATATACCATTTCTTCTATCAGTACAACCCCAAAGGTGCGGTTTGGGGCAACATTGTTTGGGGCCATGCAGTTTCAAAGGACTTGATCAATTGGGAACCAATTGAACCTGCAATTTATCCTTCAAAACACTATGACATCAATGGTGCTTGGTCTGGTTCAGCCACCATTCTTCCCAACAATAAGCCAATAATTCTATACACTGGACTTGACTCAAACAGCATAGAAACCCAAAACTATGCAGTGCCAGCAAATTTATCCGATCCGTATCTCCGCAGATGGATCAAACCCGGAAACAACCCGCTGATCGATCCCGAAAACGAAGGCGGCGTAAATGCCTCCTCGTTCCGTGACCCCTCCACCGCCTGGCGGCTAAACGGGCGGTGGAGAGTCCTGGTTGGAAGCAATAGGAACCGTAGAGGGATTGCTTATCTGTATGAAAGTAGGGATTTCATTCACTGGACTAAGGCTAAAGACCCTTTGCATTCGGCTCCCAATACAGGAATGTGGGAATGCCCTGATTTTTACCCCGTTTCGTTATCCGGTAAAGAGGGTTTAGATCCATCCGACCATGGAAAACATGTTAAACATGTGTTGAAAGTGAGCTTGGATGTTACCAGGTATGATTACTACACAGTTGGAACATATTTAACCGATGAAGATAAATATGTTCCGGATAATACTTCAGTTGATGGCTGCGCTGGCCTTAGATACGACTATGGAAATTTCTATGCTTCAAAGACTTTCTTCGATCCTGCAAAAAGAAGAAGGATTTTGTGGGGTTGGGTTAATGAATCTGATTCTACTGAAGATGATGTTAAAAAAGGATGGGCCGGAATTCAGGTATTCATATATATATATAATCTATATGCACGTATTACGTTTATCGGGATCGCGGACATAACATATACTATTCCGATAACGGACCACTATCGAGGTAAAGTGATGAACTCTTACTATCTGCAGGCAATTCCAAGAAGGGTATGGCTTGATCCCAATAAAAGGCAATTGAGGCAATGGCCCATCCGAGAGTTGAACAGTCTAAGAGGGAAAAACGTTCAACTGAGCCATCAGGAGCTTAAAACAGGCCATCATATTGAAATCAAAGGAATAACAGCTGCCCAGGTTGAGTTTGAGGATTGTTTACTTCGACCAGCTCAACTCACCCACATATTATCATATAGATATAGATATACTCATCGTTGTATGTAGTGTACTTTTGACAGGCAGATATAGATGTTAGCTTCTATATTCCAACCCTGGACAAAGCTGAGCCATTCAATCCTAACTGGAAAAACGCCGAAGATCTCTGTGCCAACAAAGGATCAAAGGTTGAAGGTGGAGTTGGTCCATTCGGACTCTTCACGTTGGCTTCGAAAAACCTTGAAGAATATACCGCCGTTTTCTTCAGAGTTTTTAAAAGCTCAAAAAACCATGTAGTTCTCTTGTGTTCTGATGCAAGGAGGTCTGTTTTTTTTGAACTTTTCTCCATAAAAATACAAGTCTTTGTTCATAACTCTAACTTGATTTGGTCGACTTTTTGCAGTTCCTCGTTGAGGGATGGGCTATATAAACCAGCATTTGCAGGCTTCGTTGATGTTGATTTGGCTGATAAGAAGCTCTCTCTTAGGAGTCTGGTATTTTTTTTCACACAGTAAAATATTTAATTTGTAATCCATCCAGCATAGCAAGCTCTGTAATGACTTTCCGCTCGTCATCTTCGCTCTCCGCTCAATTTTAATGATGTTCTTCCTATTAATTTCTGTTTTTTGGGGTTGCAGATCGATCATTCCGTAGTGGAAAGTTTCGGAGGAGGGGGAAAAACATGCATAACATCTAGGGTTTATCCGACATTAGCTGTGCTTGACAATGCTCACTTGTATGCATTCAACAATGGCGATCAGACCATCACCATTAAGAACCTTAATGCGTGGAGCATGAATAAGCCTCAGATGAACTGATGGTGTTTTTGTCTAGCTAGTTAAGTAGTAACATGAACGTTTATCATGTGTTAGTCTATTGAATAATTAGTATGTTTATGGTTAAAGAATAAACAAAGCTCTTGTACTATAATCAAAAGTGCAATTTAGATTTACATTTTACAGAATTAAGTGGTTTTAATATTTTTAATGCATTTATGTTACTTCAAATGACCAAAATTAATAAAAATGTTAATGAAAATCTACAGCTCCATTGGCTCGGAATTGGAAGCTTTTAAGGTGGGTTTGGAAGTATTTTTAGAAGCTAAGTTTGAAGGAACGAGATCATTGGGAGGGCAATCCACTTCCCTTGTCGCTTTGAATTGGATATCTAAACCCCTTCTTAGGCCGTTAAACTCGGGAATTTAAGTTGCGGTTACGGTCGCATTTTTGTTCGCGTTGCGTTTATTGCGGTTGCAGATATAACGGATGCTATTGCGGTCATTGTGGGTATCGCGGTTGCATATATAATGGATACTATTGCGGCCGTGACTCACTGCTATTGGTGATATTTCGGCTGCGGTCACGATACCGCTATTCGATCGCTATTTGAATCCCTGAATTAAACTTTTTAAATCTGCTGGATATTATTAATGAGAAGTCCTCTCAGTTCGATTCTGTCTCTTTTAAGTTTGTCTCGCATTACCCTTCGATGGCAGATTGGTTGGCTAATTTTGGTGTGGCTAGACATGAGTGGTTCAAGGCTTGGTGGTAATTTTAACTACGATTCTTCCCCTGTTTTCATTGGTTTGTGCGGTGCTTTAGCACATGTTTATATAGCTGGCTTAGGTCTCTCAGGGTTGGGCTGTGTTGTTCTCGGCGAGGAAAGATTGCTTTAGTGATCAGCATCGACCTTATTTGGTTTGTTGCCTCCTGTGATTGCCTGCCTCTATGGTGTCTCCCCTCCTTGTGTTCTGTGTACCTGGCTTAAAAAACTCTTTTCCTCAGCTTAGATTTAGGGAGGATTTTATCGAGACTTTGAACTAGGTTAGTTCTCTCTTTAATAAAGTTAATCATTGCTGATAAAAAAAAGTCGGGTTGTTACCCGACTTAAACTAATGTTATAGATTTGTAACAAAATGGCTACTCGACACTCTAATGTGGTTGGATGTTTCTCTAGGATCATTCGTTTTCCATCAGCTTCCAGGGTTGGGGAGTACCACAGCTTGTCTCCTCTCAGTCACGCGGTGATAAGTGGCCCAAAAAACTGAAGAGTATGGAGAAGTTGAACGATTCAGCAGCAACTCAGGTAGTTTCCTTGTTTGTGGAAAATATTTCAAGGGCATTACATTGGAAGGGACTATGGTTCACATTTGCTCGATATGAGAATGTCGTTGGTGCATTCATTGCAAATAAGCTAAGCAGAGGAGGTAAGAGGTTTGGTTTTGTTAGGTTTGGAAGCAAGGTAGAGGCATAATGTGTTATGGAGAAGTTGAACGATTTTGTTCTAAATGGTTTCAAATTATCGGTTCATTTTGAAAAGTCTAGAGGATTATCAAGAGTGGGAGGTCTAGGAAACGTTGATAGGGAGACAAGGAGGAGGGGTGGGAGGTTCAATCATTCAAAGGCATCTAGGGAGGCATTTCAAAGGAACTCGAACAAAGAGCAAGAACATGTCTGCAATTTTCAAGCTAAAAAAGTTGGGCAGATGAGAGGTGAGTTTAGTGAAGCGAATAAAAGGCTTTGTAGAGAAGGAGGTCTTGTGGAAATTGAAAAGAGTCTGGTGGGCAAGATGTCAACGGTCTGTAGCGTGAGAGTGATTAGTTTTCGGTTGCAGAAATGGGGAATGGAGAGCATCAAAGTCCAACGAATCGGAGGCAAATCCTTTCTATTAAGCTTTGAAGATGACGAATTGTTCATGATGTTAGAAGACTTGAACTGGTCATATCTCAAAAAAAATCTTCTCAGAGATCGAACTCTGGTCAGAATCGATGGATAGGACAGAGAGGGCGACCTGGATTAAGGTCTCGGGTGTCCCATTACAGTACCCTCAAAAGGGTGGCAGAATTATGGGGAAATTTTGAATCTTTAGGTGAGAATGCAGATCATTCCATCGATTATAAGAACGTAACGATTTTGATAACTACAAACCAAGATAAGAGGATATCCAAATGAAACAGTGGAGATAGAAATTGGAATATCAAATCAATGGGGAATCAAACAAAACATGAAGGGAGGTTCGAGTGATCAAAAGGAGGATATCCAAATGAGCTCGTCGAAAGAGGATAACTCTGGCTCGTCATCGGCTAAGGTTGAGAGAACTGAAGAGGTGAGGGATGCTGCATTAACCACACGTTGCTTTGGGAATGAATTCAATAGAAATGATGACATTCATTCACCCGAGAAAACACGCCATCCGAATGAAACAGAATTGAGTGGAGGAGGAATTATTATGGTGGCTCAGGATCCTTCTCGAGCTGATGGAAATCGCGAATCCATAAAGAGGTCAAAGGATGGAGACGAGAATTCTATGTTGGCGAGAACGAGAAAAGTTTTGTCAACATTATTTTTGTTGTTCGAATGCAACAATGTAGTTGGAAGATGGAAATTTTTGGAGTTGCTACACACTTCATTCGAATGCCTCGTCTTTGTTGAGAAACAGTTTGTCCGCTCAGTGAGCCTGTTTTCAAGGTGAATTGCACAACTCTTTTCAAATTCAAAGATAAGGAAGTTGAAACAGATTCCCAAGTGGCGTTGACATGGTTTATAACCCGTCTTTGAGGCCTTTGGCGTTGGTGAGATACGTTCGATGAGTTTGATAAGCTGTCTCAATATTTCCAGGTTGTAGGTCATGTATGTCCCATGAGAAGGTATAGGTTAGCGGATCAGCTGGCGAAAGAAGGGAAGTTGAGTCAATAGTGTTGTTGTTGTTCTCGTGCTCGCGTGATTGCCATGAGGAGGATTCATAGTTGTTGTTAGTGTTTGCTGTTGAGCTTTGTTGTTGGGTGATTATGTTTCGAGTTGTGTTGTAGTTCTCTTGCCTTGATGGGGTGTACTCTTTTCCTTCACTTAGGATTAGGAAGGTTTTTAATGACGCCCCTATCTCGGTCTTTTAATTTAAATAAAATCATATTTTTTCCGAGCAAAAGAAAATGGATATTCGACATTAACAACCGTTAATGTCTGTTACAGAAAACCGAGTTGGATCTTTAAAAGCTTACCTAGACAGTAGAGTGTCACGTTGAACCGATGAAATCCCTGTTGACTATCTCTCTCTTTGTGAAGCCCTCAAGCTTTGAGAAAGTAAATCCCTTTTGAACCAAAAATACTTAATAATGGAGGATTCCTCAAACCCTAAACATACTCTGTGGGAAGAAAGATCAGAGTTGATGGTTTCATGATATAATAAGAGCCACGAACTTAGAACAATCCATTTTATCATACCTTCGATATAAGACTCAAGCTCCATTGATGGAACACCAATCCCTAACCTTCCAATTTAACGGGTCCGGGAATCGATTACGCGTGGGGAAGGATTTACACCCTACAACGCCCAAAATTGGTACTTAGTCGCTTATACATTGTCGCAAAATGGTGACAATTATAAATTGAATATAAAGTTAAAATATGATCCATTTATTGAACATTCCTTAATTCGAGAAGAAATCACTAGATTTGCACATCCTCCAATGGGAAGGCTATCTCGTCTATTTCTCCTTTATACGAGAAATATTCCCTCTCCCTAAAGTTATCAAAAAACACAAATCGAATATAAATAAACTATCGATAATTGCATAAAATACATTATTAAAAAGCATGCATTGCGTCGTTTGAATAAAAACGAATTAACTAGCACTTTAAAAATAACTTCAATTTATTTCAAGTTCACATTTTGTTCGAATGTCGTATCGGATCGCACTAGTTCAACCAAATAGTCTTTCCACACCCATTCTACAAATAAGTGTTCTTGAAAATATTCGAGTAACATTAAAATATATATCTTATATCAAACAAAGAAGCATGAAATAATAATTAACTGAATAGGATTTTGGGTATATATATAAAAAACAAACATTTAATATATGCACAAAGTTAACAAGAAAAATACCAAGGATGAAACATATATAGTACAAATATGGCAAACAACATTTAATTGATCCGTACACATATATATTAATTACATATGAAATCATGAACCCTAATATAAACAGTTGATATAACAAAACTTTAATTTGGACTATGAGGTCAAAAGGTTTCGAGTCGGTTTATGAGAGTTGAAATGAATGGACCGATTGAAAACTCGAGAAACAAAAGAATAAATGAACCGTACCTATGCGTCCAATTTTCATGCCTGAACGAGCAAGAGCTCTAAGTGCAGACTGTGCACCAGGACCAGGCGTCTTGGTCATGTTCCCTCCAGTTGCTCTTAGCTTTATATGAAGAGCAGTAATACCCAACTCCTGCAAGAAAACAAATACAAATAGGCATATAAGTTCACCATGCATAAAACATGTATCACGCCTCGAGTCAAAGGCTAAGCAATAAGACCTTGCAGCGCTGAGAAACATCTTGGGCTGCAAGCATGGCAGCGTAAGGGGAAGACTCGTCTCTATCGGCTTTCACCTTCATACCACCTAGATTTGAAAAACGAAAGGAATAAGGTCGAAAAATACGATTCATGGCAATAATTTCAACCTCAGACATGAATATCCACAAATGTTGCAACATAAATAGACATTCGACCCAAAAACCGACCGCAGCAAAAGAACCCATTTTCTAATGATAATCATAAACCATACCGGTGATGCGAACCGTCGTTTCCCTTCCGGACAAATCAGTCACATGCTGGAGATCAAACAATAGCATGTTATGCATGATAAACTACCAGAAAAAAGAACAATGTAAATAATTTCGGTCATCGCTTACTATAAATGTGTCGTTAAACGAAGCGAAAATGTGAGCCACTCCGAAAACATACTCGCCCTCTCGAACAGCAGGTCCAAGGGTAGTATTCTCCTCCTTGGGCTCCCTAACCTTTCTCCTTGACTAGAAAATACAACAAAAACAACAACAAAAAATCAATAATCTTATTTGCACCCATGTAAATATAAGAATCTGCTATGGCAATAAGCCTAAAAAGGGAGCCCCCAAGGCGAAAAAAGAAAGGTTAAATCTAATCTAATTGGTAAAAGGTCTCAATTTGAAGTTTTCGATTCCATGTACGTGACAAAGAACTGCAAATTTGTAAACATATTTTGATTCAGTTTTCCAAACACAGAAACAAGAGAAAAAAACCCATAAATCAAAAATGTATTTTCTATCGGAGGCCTAACAAGATTGATCGTATGATGGAGAAGCTGAATAGATGCAAATACAGACTTACCATGGCTTAGACGAGAGAAATAATGAGCTTAATCTGATGATTTTGGCCTCTTACCACTCTAAAGTGAGGTTTGGTTCGCTGGAATCCTTGGAATTAGGGGAAATTGGAATTCAATTCCACCACTTTCCGTTCAAGTTTTCAAAAGGGAATTGGAATTCAATTCCATCAAGGGAGGGAAAGTAAATTTCATCCATAACATGATGGAAATGGAATTGAAATCCTTTGGATGAGGGAATGTGAAATTTGACTATACTACCATCATCAATCTTTTAGTATTCGGGTCGGTTTTTTTTAAAAAAAATCGGGATTGGGTCGGGGTTTTTTAAGTTTGATATTCGGGTCGGGTCGGGTTTTTTTAAAAAAATCAGGATCGGGTCATTTTTTAAAAAAAAATCGGGTTCGGGTCGGTTTTTTTAAATGTGATATTCGGGTCGGGTTCGGGTTTAGGGTGAAAAATACTCGACCTGACCCGAAAAAAATATATGATTTTACCTTATATATTTAGAAATAATTACAATAATACCCCTCTATCTATAATTTTTTCAATTAAGTCATTGTTTTTATTGAATAAAAATATTTTTTATTATTTCGGGTCGGGTCAGGTGAAACTTTATTTTGGTCGGGTCGGGTCTCGGGTGGAGATTCCCTTGTTCTCGGGTCGGGTTGACCAAAAACCCGACCCATTGTCATCCCTAATTGAGATGATTTTAACTTATGATGTTTATTAGTATGATTTTTATAATTTATTGAAATGAATAATCAATCAATAAAATAAAAATTTAATATTTTTAAAATTTTTATAATATATTGCTACATATAAGTTATAAAACAAACTAAAATTAAGCAAAAAAAGAAGAAGAAGGACAATTCTGTCATTTTACATTACTGAAATCAAATTCATCTGACATGTCTGCGAACCAAACAGAATATGGAATTGGATTCCAATTCAATTTACTGCCAACCAAACAGGTTTCAGATTCTAATTCTAATTCCTTCGGATTCCAATTCCTTCACAGATTCCAATTCCCTCGTAAATATTCCAACGAACCAAACGCCACCTAAACTTAAAGGATAAGATGATGAATCGTCTGCTACTAATTTATAGATAGGTTTCTTTATAACCCTAACGTTAAATGACTGAAAACACCTTGTCTTTATTTTATGAGTAAATTACAACATTCATCAATGAACTTTACTCTATCCTATTTTACTTATTGTATTTTCAATTATTTTTAATTTACTCACTGCACTTTATACATTAAATTTTGTTAGCCACTCTATAATGATGTGGATTATTTTATATTTTTCATGACTTATCATATTTTATAATATTTTAATACAAAAAAATGATTAAAATAAAAAATAGATGTAAAAAAACTAAATTATTTCTTAAATTTTAGGTCTAAACCCTAAATTCTTAAATTATATCCCAAACCTTAAATCTCAAATTAAATCCCACTCACCTTCAACTTTATAGGTTCACCCACCCACCAGTGGACGGTGGCTCATCGACGGCCAACCGGTGGCTCATCGAAATTGGCTAATTTAATGGTTTATCTTTTGCCTTTTTTTTTTTTTTGCAAGTTCTTACGCCTTCAACTAGAGGCTTTCTTCTCGTTCATGTTGTTGAGAATTACAGCTCCAGGAGGATCTTTGCAACTCCAAGAGGTGGCATTGGAAGAAATTGTAAATTTTTTCAAGCAATCGACGTTTATAATCGAAGCTTACACTTACTTACGTCTTCCGCTACACTGCTTCTGGATAAGAGTATGATCGGAGATTACATTGGGGATCCGTATGAATTAACCTTCAAATTCTTAAGAAATTCACAACTTTTGAATTCAATTGCATGATTCTTGATTTTGCTCTTAGAACTTATCTTGAAATATTCATCGGTGAGCCACCAGTGAGGCCATCGGTGAGCCACTGTCCACCGATGGGTGGGTGAACCTATCAAGTTTGAAGGTGAGTGGGATTGTAATTTGGGGGTTTAGGGGTTAAGATATAATTTGAGAACTTAGGATTTGGATCTAAAATTTAAGGGATGATTTTAAAAATTTAAAATTATTTTTATTTTAATAATTTTTTGTATTAAAATATTAAAAAATATGACATGTCATATGAAACAATTAATAAAATAAGTCACATCATCGTAGAGTGACTAAAAAATTTCAATATATAAAATTCAGTGAGCAAATTGAAAGTACAATAAGTAAAACATGAGAGAATAAAATTCAGTGATAAATAGTATAATTTACTCTTATTTTATATTAAAACCTGAGTTTTGAAGGGAAAAGTACAAAAATTGTTCGTCAAACTATTTGATGTTGTTTTATTTAGTCCACTAATTATTAAAAGTTATAAAATGATCATTTTACTATAAGACGTCGTTTGTTGAGTCTCTTAACTATTAAAAATTATAAAATAATCACTCAGGTATTCATATATTTCAAACTCATATTTTTTCTTAAAAAATTGACAATAATATGTCTAAACATTAACCGATAACTATGATATATTAAAATTTGATATCAGAATCTCAAACGATTATCATATCTCATTCATCATGTCAACGTTTAACTAAAATGATCATCAATTTTTTACTTTAAAATGATAAATTTAGAAGATATGAATAGTCGAATAATTATTTTGTAACTTTTAATAGTCAAGAGACTCAACAAAACAATATTATATAATTAGAGAACAATTTTATAACTTTTAATAATTAAGAAATTCAATACCGCAATATCTTATTTTCTTTATGTTTTTAAAAGAATTCTTTCGCATTAATGAGAGCATTGATAATGCTTAAGGGTGTAAGAGCGTGTAAATCCACATAGGGAAGGAAAAACCTTTTGGAAGGATATTTATAATACATTTCCTTCCTTTCCTTTCCTTGTTGAGTGATAGAAGACGAGACCTCTACACGCAGAGCCGTCACCGCCCATCCAACTCGATCGGGTTCGTGATCGTGACACAATGCGTGTTTAAAGAATATTTACATGCGTTCAGAATTATGTTTGTCCACTCTGACTTTCGGGTGCATGAATTTGTGGAGAGACAGTGCTAACCTCATAGTACCAATTGCTTACACTTTTTACCTTCAACATGCGTATTACCCCTTAAAGTATCTTTTCGACCGGTGGTCTTTGCTCTAGGTCTATTTTTCTCTAAATTCGGGTAGAATCCGGATCGGAAAGTTTTGCACAGATATTACTTTCAAATCTCCCGGAGCTAACATAGTCGACAACTTCAGAGCAAAGGATAAGGGTAAACAGAGCCAAAAGGAAGCTATGAAAGGAAAAGGGCAGAAAACTAAATACACCGTATGTTCATGATATAGCTACTCCAAAGCAGCGCACTTGATCTTAACATTCCACAGCCATGCATATCTGATGATGATATTCACCAATCAAACACATCGCTTTCAAGAATGACGAACGAAACAGCAAAAACAGATATCGATATCCAGCGAGATTATTGCAGTCGTAAGAAAATTCATGGGTGAAACATTTGCCCCACCATAAACCATCCCAACACCCTTGGGACCAAATCTAAGAACAATATATGAATCCCAAAGCAAAATAGGTTCAAACCTGGTATCGGGGCCTCTTGAAATTACATTAAGAGGCTAGAGACTTCAGCTTGGGCGACACAATCTCAAGTAGGCCCTTCGGGTTGTCCACATGAACCCAGTGGCCTGAATTGGGAAGAACATGAACTGAAATCTTCCCTGCAGATCCATCTCCTTCCTGACTAGCAAGTCTTTTAAGCCGAGTAATCACATCCGCATCCCACCGATCACTTTTCTCTGCACGTACAATAGCTATCTCCAGTTCTTTCGGAGGGTGCTCCAACAAAGACCAATACGACATCTCCCTAGAAAATTTCACATTGATAATTCACTAATAAGTCAACAAAGAAAATGATCTAAGCGAAGTAAAAGTAGAATAAGTGATATCAATGTGGAACCATTGGTTATTACTACCTGTAGGAATTAAACATCTGAATAGCACCATCAAGATTAAAAGCCCATGTCTCTTCTCCCCCAGATTTCTTGAGGTTGGTGCCTATCCACTCCGACAACGACTTAGAGAAGCCAAGTTCGAGCATATGATTAACAAGCCACCTGAGAGCAGATACCGGAAGTACCCAATACGCAAACAGGTTTAATACACCGTTTTATGTAACAGAACAAGGAATTTTCAGCAACCAACACACCACATACAGTTAACAAATGTAAAACCCAAGCAAACCAAGCAGAATGACCAACACGCCATTTAAGCATAAGCATCCCCTAAACTAAAACTGGAGAGGACACTTGAGTTACCTTAAATGACAAACGTGCAACTTTTTTTTATTCTTCAAGTGATTAAAATGGTAGTGTTCGTTCAGAATTTTCTTAACTTATTGACAACGCACACACCCAACATGCGCGACCACTTAAACCCGAACCATCAATCGAAAAGTAACATTCCCTTTTACCACTGAATCCACTTAAAGAATTCCAAATGTGCAACTTATCGTTCACAACAAATTGGATAATAACCAGAGCAAGCATCTTCCTTTCGAACCCAAACCATCAATCGAAAAGATTTTACTGATCTCAACTCAAATCTCAACCATAACGAATATTTAAGAAGCTAGTTAATTAACTAAAACGATCCGATTGACACTAGAAAACAAAAACAACAATGCCTAGAATTAGAAACAAGAAGGGCAGAGGGTTTACTTCCGTGATGGAACTGTTGAAGGTAAACTTTGCAAGGTCTGCAAAACCTTTTCTACTTCACCATCACTGTTTTCCGATTTCACTTCTCCAGGGACAGAATCAAACACCCAAAGCTGTTCTGCATCAGTAAATAAGTCAAAATTGAGAAACAAAAAGAATTCCTGAACTTTAATCCTCAAATACATACAATCAACAAAAGCACGGAGCAATAATTACCTGTTTGGGAAGCTTAACATTTTCACCATAATCTCTATTCCCACAACTCTGGGCGAATTGCAAAGCAACTTTGCCACCCATGGAGTGACCAATGACAACATCAGGCGAATCCCAGTTTTTGAAGTTTATCAAATCACCCAAATCTTTGGCTGCATTCACCATATCATCCGGCGGATCGAACCCTTGTATGTCCGTTGACTTCCCATGGTTCCTTAAATCCACCAGCACCATCCTCCACTCTACAAAAATGAACGAATGAATGAAAAAATAAATCATCGAATTTTCTCAGGAATTCAAACGGTCTCGGGATTAAGTACCGGAAGAAGGGGAGGTGGATAGAGACGAGGCGAGGCTGCGGGAAAATGAACGCCAGTTGCGGGCGGAGCCAAGGAGGCCGTGGAGGACCAAAGCTGTGTGAGTATAGGGTTTGTTTGGATTGACCTGGATTTCTTCATAAGCTAGGGTTTGGAGGGATCTGTTTGAGGTATTGCGGTAGGGCTGAGTCAGGAGGGAACTCGGTGAGTTAAGAAAACGAGTCAGGAGAGTGCAGGGAGTTCCATGTTTGTTCCTAACGAGTCGAGCCATTTCAAACACTCGTGCTTCTACGCGACTCTGTAATCAAAAATTAAATAAAGAAATTGAACAAAAGCAAGCAATTAATTAGAGGGTAAACTACATAAAGGGTCATTAATATTTAAGTAAATTTCTCTTTACTCCATTGATGTTTCAAACCTAATGATTTGACTATTAATATTATCGATTTATAATAAACCATTCACTTGTTGTTAACAGCGATTGTTAAGATAAAAAAAACTTTGATGTGATATATTAAATCAACTGATATGACACCGTTTGGACCAACCATTTAACTCTAATTTTTTTTTATCAATTTACCATTAAGAATCGGCATCGTGACGTCCACAATCTGCATCTATAACATAAAAATATATTTAGAAAATAAATCACATCGTGACGTCTGCAACACCGAAACTGTAATTTAGTAATATATTCAGGGTGCCAATACTTTTATTGAGAAAAGTCTAAAGGATACTGTAAAAGTTCAAGTATCGTCAAAACTAATCTCTAATTATTGTTAAAATTAGGAATGATCGTTCAATCGAGTGGAGTCGAGTTAAAAAATTTTTGAGATATTTGAGTTGATAAATCCTATTTTACAACTCAAATTTGACTTGAAATTTTTTTGAGTCGATTTTTCGAGTTTATGTTTAAATTTAATTGTAAATATTTATAATATTATAATATTATTTGATTTCAATTTATGTGCCTTTCTATAATCATATATAAAATACAAATATATTTCTTCATTTTTTTTAATAGTGATATAAATATATCATACAAAGTCTAAGGATTATACTCAAATTTGAAAATAAATCCACTAATTACTAAAAATTTGAGTTAATTCAAATTGCATTTTACAACTCGATTTGAACTGGAAATTTTTTCGAGTTGAGCCGAGTTTATGAAATTACAACTTGAAGTCAATTCGAGTCGAATCGAGTCATAGAAATCGATTTTTTGTGTCTAGTCGAGTTTTGTTCACCCCTAGTTAAAATCATTCATCCTCCAAAAACTTGCTTTCTTTAACAAGGAAAATATGCAGATAGAAGACATTGCACTGTGTGAAGGAGTTGAAAGGGACACGGATGACAGTCGTTTTATAAATTCTTCTATATTTCAGAATTTTTCTGTGTATTTTCTATTGATAATATGCTTTTATCTTTTTAAAATTTTATAAGTTAGTCCCCTTTAAAATTGTATAAATTGGTACTCTTAACATAAAATCTTGCATCCAATATTAGGTCACCTGCATATAACAGTAACGTCGAGAAGGCCATGCATCATTTCCATTGTGATTGATACAAAAATGATTGTATTTTCATTATTGTTATCAACTTCAAGTTGCTGTGGTTGAATATGTAATGGATGCTTCAACATGAGCTGCATCCATTGTCGTTTAAAGACGAATAGTTGATGTATTAGCCCGACTATGCGCTGTTCCGGCATGCATTGGCTGCTCGGAGCTATGTTTTCGGACCTTTGGAGAGTGATTTACTTGTTCAATTTGTCTGAACCAGTGTTGCCTCCAACATCGTGCACGACCTGTTCATATACAATGCAGTTTGAGGCGCTACTGAAATGTTAGTGTAACATGCAGTACTCTTAGACCCACAACGCTCTCTGCGATACAGGTGTTTGATCAAGTTACTGGCTGTAGAGGCCATGGTTGCAAACTCTGTGTCGTGATTTTGCCGGTACTCGTTCCGGTCTTGTCTTGAGTGGACGATTATCGGCGTCGTTGGAACCATGATTTCTTTTTCTGGAGCTCTTTTTAGGTCTCTCCATTTTACAGTAAACCTGGACTAAGATTTCCTATTGAAATAATTAGATCAAAAAAGGCTGAAATTGAATGAATTGTCAAGTTGAAATTTAAAAACTGTTTTCACTTTAACCCGATTTCATTAGTGCTTAAGAGTACATATCATTACTTGTTTCTGTAGGAATAGGAGAGAGAGAAGGAGAATCCATAAACGATAACGAGTTATGACATTTGCAATCATATCTAACATCCCTCCGTCGTTTCCCGTCTATCGTTCATTTTCTTTTACCGAGTGGAAACGATAAACTTTCCGGGGAACAAGGAGGGGCGGAAAGAGTCTTCGGTCTTCTTAGTCAAATGGATCGATTCGTGGGTCATGCTCGCTAGCCATCAGCATTCCCGTACACAGACAAGTTGGGCACATCACCTAAAGTACAAAGATATTAGCCTCTAGATTCTGAAAACTCAAAATTGTATTTTGTCAATAACATATTTGTGCATATATTCGGTTTACCTTTCCCGAACCGGAGCAGTTCAGACACCTTTCGGTAGTAGGCACTTTTAAAGTCCGTCCAGAAGCACTGGATAGCGAGATAGGATCAATGCTCAAGCATACACCACTTGCAGTACATCTTGCACAGGCCAAATATCCTTGCCCGTAGGATAACCCCCCAAAACAAAAGATGATCAAAACCAATGTAAGTTCATAAGATAGTATAAGTGATAACTTCACAGTCTGAAGGAATTAAAGAGAGCTAAAAGCCGACAAGGAAATCGGGGAAAAGTGCATGTCCACTCAACAAACTAAAGCGTACCATTTCCGTGGCAATATTTACACCTTTTCTTCTCCTGCTGTTCAACATTGTTGGCTTCAATTAGCATCAAGGCTGAAATGACACCCACTGCCCCTCCCGAAAACGATGCCACGATAGGGTCAACCTGACTGAACCATCAAACAAAAAGGTTGAAACGGTAGCTTTAATTGTTCAATTGTAGTCATTTGCACCCGAGCACTAGTTACTCTAGGTTTACAATTTTGTAAATGAAGATAAGGTCAACTAATAATACCTTAACTGCAATGGCAGATGCATGTTACGTATGAAATCTTCATACGAGGTGCCTCCTAGACCTAATTTTAGCTCCAGCTGCCATGAAAAAATAGATTACAATAACAAAACAAAAAAACCAGTAAGTAGAAATAAATATAGTTATATCAATTGCAATACAAGAAGACATGTGCTTGGAATTTTGGCTCGAGTAAGAGTCTATAAACACTACTCGTGGTAGTTGCCGGTTAAAGGAAAGAAATGACAACTTAAAATCAAATCTAAGAATTAATACTACAATATGGAGTTAAACTAGAATAACTTTAGATGTTCTTACTACTTACCGTTGGCGCAATAAGGCCTCCAAATAAAATTACTCCAGATATAAATGCCAGGCTTGTGAAATATAGTTGCTTCATTGTCTTCGGTGTCTACTTCAACAGGAAGGTTAACAAGGTAACAAAACAAAGACAAAATCAAAATAAATCATTAAGCAACGATCTCGAAAGGGCGTTTTCGTGCATTTTCCAACATAAACCTGCTTTTCGAGCATTTCCCGTGTACTTCAGCTAATTAAGCTTGAAACGCAAACATACAATAGATATGAAACTAAAAACTCACCACATGAGAGAAAAAAGGAATTGAAGATGGAATGTCAGGCATCTCATCTGTTTCCTCCTCGTCGTTCTCATTGTTCACTTTCGCATTCTCTATCCGGTGTTGTATTCGTAATCTCCTTACCTATTTGGGGAGAAAAAAAAGACTCCACAAGGACAAATCAAATGAGAAACAATATCAAATACATTAACCCAATCCACAAACGCATAATATTCTCCTTTTCCATTTTAGCCTGCGCTTCATGGATTGAAGATAAAATTCCTTGACAGCTTGAACAAAATGGTTGGTTTCATGCATATAATTTGAGATTAGAAGCTCCAAATAACTATGATAAATCTATGTAATTAAAACAAAAAACTTCATTTATTTACCTCTTCCATAAGGAGGAAAATCTTATTGCGCCTACTGTTTATATTATCTTCAATTTCCTGCAGCTGCATCTTCACAAAATCTTGAACAGTATCCGGTCCTTCAATGATGCAAAAGTTACTGAAAAACCAAAAAAGAAAACAAAAAAAATCCTTTTAAAATCTCACAACGAAAGCAACCAATACTAAAAACACAAAAAGATAAACACTTTATATGATAAAATCAAAAACCCATTTACAAAATCATGTAATACGACAGAGACTTTAAGAAGATGGATAGTTCAACCAAAAAATGAGAGGAAAAAAAAAGGAAAAGGAGAGTTAAGGAATGAACCTGGGAATGTTATCAGCAGGAGGGGGAGGGTTGTTTTTAGAGGAGAAACAGAGGGATTTATGAGGAGCAAAGTGTTTTGGGGGGCAGGGGAATTTAGTGTTTCCATGAATTGGGATTAGGGTTTTGAAATTTGGAGAAGCCGAAGGATGAAGATAATGAGAGCAGAGATGGAAAGTTTCCATTTCGTTTTCAATCTCTTTCGAGATGGACGGTTTCTGAAATAAAACTGACGTTCTTCCTTTTGTCTTATATATAGGGTAAATTATATAGAATAATTTTCGTACATTTTAGTATCTAAACTTTTAATTTTTTAAAAATAGTACATAAAGTTTAGTTCTTCTTTTATTTTAGTATCCAATGTTAAAAGCTTTGGTTTTTATTTCATTATAGTATCCCGTTCAAAATTTAACATTAAAATTTAAAAAATTGAAAATTTAGGTATTAAAACGAACTAAAACTAATAATTTAGGTACTAAATGCATTAAGTTTTTAACAGTATACTAAAATGAAAATTAAACGTTAAATATGATTTTAAAAAAATTAAAAATTTAAATATTACAATAGATCAAAATTGATAATTTAGGTATTGTTTCCTATTTATATTAACAAAAAGAGCTTAAACTTCCCTCGCATATTTAAAATAAGCCGGCAAAAATGCTTGAATTTTATGGTAGACAAAAAAATTTACTTGAATAAGGAGTAAAATAAATTAGGATAAAGCTTATAAATGGTCCCTATAGTGATATTTTTTTAAGTATCTTAACTATTAAAAGTTATAAAATAGTCTTCAGATTATATATGATTGTTTTGTTGAGTCTTTCAACTACTAAAAGTTACAAAATAGTTACTTGACTAATCATTATGTTCCAAACTCATCCTTTTCTGTTAAAAAATGAACAATATACTGAGCTGAACATTAACTTGTTGATTGTGATATAATAAAATTTGATCTCATAATTTTATTCATCATGTTAACGTCCAGTTTAAACAACCGTCAAATTTTTAATGGAAATGGATGGATTTGCAACATAGTGAATAGTCATGTGACTATTTCGTAACCTTTAATAGTCGAGGGACTTAAAAAAGTAACATTCTATAGTCGGATGACCATTTTGTAACTTTTAATAGTCAAATGACTTAATAAAACAATACCCTATAGTCGAGAGACCATTGTGTACTTTACCCAATAAATTATTTATTTTCAGTTAATCTAGTAGAATGAGGCAGGATATTTTAAGCAAGATAAAGATTCAAATCTTGACATTACGAATGGAGCAAAAGATTAGAAGGGTTAGTCTCGCATCTACAAAACCAATCCGGAGTCTATCAATAGATCGAAAATTGATAATTATACCAAAAATAAATGATTATATATATAATAATAATTTGACTGCCACATTAATTTAGAATCTCATCAAAATTATATTGTAATTTTGTGAAAATAAAACTCATTACGTAGGCTTAATAATTAAAGGGAGAGTTATTCTTGTTAAAGGTTCTAGACTCAAGCAGACGTGTTTGTTAATGTGTGTGTTATCAACGATTAAGAAAGATTATGAACAGACCTAGAGATAAATCATTTAAGTATTTTCACCAAATAATCCCTTGAGATATTTTGGGTAAATTACATATTTGGTTACACGCATATTACTTAATTTTCATTTTGATCATTCAACTATTATTATTTTTATTTAAATCATACATAACATTATATTTTTGTTCTATTTTAATCGTCTAGCGTTAAAATATTAATGATGATGTTAATATGTTGCTATAATGAAATGTCATGTCATCATTGAAAAAAAAAATCACATCAGCATCACCATTAATTTTTTAATGACAAGTAATCGAAACAAAATCAAAAAATAATATTAATCATGATTTAAAAAATAATAGTTAAATAAAAAACTAAGTAATATATTGTGACCAAATAGATAATTAACCCTATTTTTTTAATTTAAAAAACACTTACATACTCATCATATGAGTCATTAATTTAAGGAGAACTATTTATTTAGTCGATTATTATTATCAGCATTTAATATCTCATTTACTAAAAAGTTATAAATCGATAATATAAATGATAAAAATATTATTTTTTAGAATTAATAATAAAAGCAAAAAATAAGGGTAAATTACTTATTTGTTTATCTACATATTAATTAGTTTTTGTTTTGGTTACTCAATTATTTATTTTAAATCATAGTTAGCGTTTCATTATGGTTATGTTTTGAATAAATCATAATTAATGGTGATCTGAAGTGTCACCAATAATATAATGTCATGTCAACATTTGACAAATAACATAAAATATCACATCAATATTACTATTTTTTTAAACGACAAATGATCAAAAATAATCGAAATGTAACATTATGTGTATTTTGAAAAAAGTTAATAGTTAGATGACTAAAAATAAAACTAAATAAAAGGTGGATGATCAAATAAGTAGTTTACTCAAAAGATAAATAAAAGTGATTCCAAAATTAAGGGTGTGCAAAAAATACCCGACCCGATTGATCAGACCCGTCTACCCGCCAACCCGAACCTAAAAAAATTGGGTAATTTTTTAAAAAAAATTACCCGACCCGACATTTTCCCGGTGGGGCCCGACTCTCAAAATTGATTTTTTTTTTCGAGTACCAGGTTACCCGAGTATCCTATTAGGGATTTTTTATATATATACAATAATATTATATTATTATATATTTAATTAATAATAATACTATATATTAAACTTATGGTTTATTTATATCTAATAAAATAATTACTTGTACGAAAGGAGAATGACAAATGAGGAAGTGTAACTATGATCATGATTCAAGTATCAAGATATCTACTCATATATTTGGCTATGAACTTTTATGTTTTATTTCTATTGTGGATTATTAGATTTTTTATTTCGAATTTTTAAATTTTATGTTTGGATGTTGAACTATGTAATTCGAAGTTTCGAACATTTAAATTTATGTATGTTTTTTAATTAATAATTTGAAGAAAAAAACCCAAGTATCCGAGTAACCGCAAAATCCGGATACTCGATCACTGGATACCCGCAACATTCAAATCAGAACACGAGCCGATAAATCAATTACTCTAAAATCAGAGTATCTGTATTTACACACCCCTATCCAGAACAAACATAAAGAGAAGTTGAAAAAGACATTCGTGCCCTTGTCATGGGAAAGGCAATTATAGAAGGGTAAAAAAGAGGTTAAAGTACATAATTGATCATCCGACTATAAAAAATTATTTTATCGAATCATCTAACTGTTGAAAGTTATAAAATAATTTCTCAAATTATAACGCATTATTTTATTGAGTTTATTATTAAAAGTTACAAAATAGTCACTCAATTATTAATATGTTCTAAATTCATCATCTCATGTTAAATAATTGATAACCGTTTGAGAAGAACGTTAACTTGTTTATTAGGATATGATAAAATTTAATCACAGACTCATTTGAGTTGTATTTATTTATATAAACTCTTCGTTTATATTATATTATCAATTTAATGTTGGAAACATTATATTATCGAGCCAATGATTAAGAGCAGCAATAAAACCAATAAACATCACTAAAATATTTTTATTATATTTAAATCAATAAATTAACGTTTAATTTAAATATCAAATTTTTTTTAATAATCGAAATACTCAATAAACACTATATTATAATTGAGATATGGGCCGTGAAATAACCTTTCATGTTTCATTTTCAAACATTATAGGAATGCTTTGATTTTCGGCCGAGTTGCCAAACCAATTCGACTCTGTTCGCTGTTTCTTTAAAAAGGGGGGGGGGAATCTTCAAGTACAAAGTGACTGGGTCATTCCAGAGGTGGCTTATGAGACCCATAAGGCTTCCTGAACCGCCCAAAGCTCGGCGGAGCACGGCGGAGGTTTTCGAAGCCGGGGTTTATGGGGTAATAAAACGGGCTGCAGTGATTGGAAATGGCTTCCCGGGAGCTGAGAATCAGTGCATCGGTTTGGTTCGGGCTTTAGGACTCTTGGGTCATCACACTTTATATGTAAGGCTTCTATTTTTCATCTTTTCATTTCAAAGTCCAGCTTTTTATTTCGTTTTTGGTTTCTTTTACATGCCCCAAGATTCAAATTGCATGTAACAAATGAGAAATTATGATTGTTATTATTTGTATGCTATCACACAGCGCGTTACAAGGCCAAGGAGGGATCAATAGGTGGCTTCATTGGCTCCCAATTTCTGTTCATAAAAAGTGGATTATGTTATAAGGCAAATTTGCATCTATTCTGGGGTTCAAACTGATGCTACATGGAGGAAAGTGGTGCCTTTTTCAGTTGAAAAACCGGTAACTGTGCTTCGAGCTCTTAAATTTTATGCTTTCGTATTGAAGAACTAAAGATGACACCCTTTTTGTTGAAACTCAATAGTTTGTCTCTTTTTGAGTTCTCGAATTGTATGTATTCATATCATAGCCAGAGGGATTTAAATTGCGGTTGTAGCATTTTTGGCTGCGTTGGTTTATTGCGATTGCGGCAATGGCAAATAACGGTTCTGGGCACCTTTATGGGTTATATAAGGGCCACTATTCCAATAACGGACCACTATTTAAATCCCTGATCATAGCACTAAGATGAGTAGATGACACCCTTTCAGGTTGAAAACTCACTGATTTGTCCCTTTATTTCTTTGGTACCTCCGAAATTGAAATTCATGCGAATGGCTGTGGTGCAGGCTTGTCCAGTATTATAGAAGCTGATGCAAAACAGATTGCGACGATGGCGGTGGATACATTCGAGATGTATATTCTTCTTACTTGAATTCCTTTGTTTACTACTACTTTTTTGTTGCCCGGCTGTGACGCTTGAAGCTATTTGATTTAGCTTTCTAGTGGTAATTTTCTTCTTTGTGATTAAATTGTGTCATGTTCTTATTTTATTTTTACCCTTTTAGGGAAGGCCCTCTGTTGGTCATCGCATCCGGTCGGGATACAATTTCTATTGCGAGCTCGATTAAACGGTTAGCCACTGACAATGTTTTTGTTGTGCAGGTTAAACTTTTGTTTTGCTCTCCCTCTTTTTTTGGAGTGTGATTTTTCTTTGTATGTTTCCTTTGATGTTGTTCAACTGTTTAGACTTTAGAGACCAGGCTGATTTCACAGTAGGCTAAAACTCACAAGAATGTTCCGGGAAAATTGCTCGAAATTATCGACTATTTTTA